GACTCTTTCTCGCAAATCCACCCGTGTCATGACCAACGACCCCGCCCTTTTTCGCCAGCTGTCAGGACGGCAGTGTAGGGGCGGCCACGAACATCATCACCTGGAAGGGGGACACACAACCAGAAAGTCACAGGTGTACCCCCCTAAGCTCTGCAAGGCTTTCGCCGATGCAGTGTTCAGAAGCATTCAGGAACAAGAGAGTCTCCTCACCATCGAGGAGATGGCGGAAATCTGCTCAGAAGATCTTGGGGTGTGCCGGGTTGGGGTCGAGGCTTTCCCCAGTCAGGCTGAGTCCTCGGAGCAGCTTCCAGAGCAGGGAGAAGACGCGGAAGGTGAGGCCGAGGAGCCCCCTCTCCAGGAGGTTCCTGGAGAGCACGAAGTGGAGATAACTGCGCCCATGAAGCGGTTGATTCGCAAAGTTCATGTGAATCTGGGACATCCTCGCAAGGAGATCTTTCTTAAGGTCCTGCGTGCGGCACACGCCCGTCCCGAGGTCATCCGATTTGTCCGAGACGAGTATGAGTGTGCCGATTGCCAAGCCCAAGTTGAGCCCGCCGGGCATCGCTCAGTAGCCATGCCACGTACTTTCCAGTTTAACAGGGTGATGGCTGTCGATACTTTCTACGTTACTTTTGAAGAGTAATCGATTCCAGTGCTGAATTGCATTTGCCACGGCACGAATCTCCAGATTGTGGAAGTTTTCGGCGGAACCTCGGAGGGGGCGTGGAGGGCTTTTCTCAGGGCCTGGATCAGGCCTTTCGGACCTCCTGAAATGGTGCTCTCGGATGGGGGGGCCGAGTTCAAGGGCCATTTCGAAAGAGGACTTGAGCATCTCGGCGTATTCCAGCACGTGATAGACGCCGAGAGTCCCTGGGAAAATGGGCGTGTTGAGCGCCACGGAGGGTGGGTGAAACAGATTTTGCTTAGGGCCTCCGAGAGCAGTCTCATCACCACCCGAGCCGAGTTAGAATCCCTTCTCCACGAGGTCGTGGCAGCCAAGAACCGCTACCTCCACAGAGGAGGCTACACCCCTTTTCAACTCGTTTATGGGGTCAACCCAAGACTCCCCAATGACATGTTGTCAGATGATGGCGTGAGACAGGTGGGGGAGGGAGACCTTGTTCAGACGGCATGGGACCAGGACACGGCGGCCGCGGACTATGCCAGGCAGCACGCTATCCGGGATCTGGCTCGACAGGAGCTTTTCCGCTCTTCAAGCAGGCGGAAGCTGGCGGAAGCCTCGAAGGGCAATGTCCACAGAGACGCTAGGGTCTATCCAGGGCAGTGGGTTTTCGTCTGGCGCCGAGCCCCGACCTCCGGAAAGAAGACGTACGCGCTCCAGCGTGACCGTTGGGTCGGACCTGGACTGGTGCTTCTTCAGTCCGGAGGGACCGTGTGGGTTGCCATGAGGAGTCGCTTGTGGAAGTGCTCATCCGAGCAAGTCAGGCTTGCGACGTCACCAGAGAGCCAGGGCGCTGAAGTTATGTCTGACCCTGGGGTCCAGAAACTTCTTCGAGAGGCCCAAGTGGGCCGCGCGGGCGTGGGGGTCAACGTGGCGGCCGAAGGACCGCCACCTCGTGAGGCCTGGGAACCAGGACACGGTGTGGAAGTGGAAGCCTCACCCATTCAGGCTCCGCTTCCTCCTCCCGCCAGGTCTCGAGCTCCTGGGGGCAACGTTCAGCGGCCGGTTCCCCCTCCCGGGCTGTCCCCCATTCCAGAGGAAGAAGTCGCCGACGCCACGGGTTCGGATCCAGGGAGCGAGACCAGGCCACCCACAGATTTATCTCGCTCTAGGGAGGTCAGTATCGAGGGAGGGGACGAAGAAGAAGAGTCAAGACCGCACAAGTATATTCAAGTTGATCCGGAGGGGGCTGCCTTGCTCCCTCCGCTCTCGAGCGGCCCAGTGCAGGGTCAGTCCTCCAACTCCTCTTCCTCTCAGCCTCTCCCACTCCAACAGGCTCCAGAAGGAGGGCGGCTGGAGGCCGAGCCTCAGCAGGCGTCCGTCATCGCTGATCCGGCAGCAGACTCCCGCATGGACGAGAGCCGTAGTGCCGGACAAGTCCCGGGCGATGGTACACCCAGTGGGGAGTCCAATGTGCCAAGGCCGATTATGGATGGAACGGTTCTTCGGAACGAGATATTAGACTTGGGCATGAAACGTCAGGGTCAGCGTATTTCGGTCACCAGGGGAGAGGACTTCAGAGGGGTCCCACCGGGGCGTGTTCGGACCCAGGTCCAAGAGCTGGAAGGTCGGCCGGAATCCAGGCCAGTGAGGCGCTCTAGGTCCCCTCCCCCCGGGCGGCCCCCGGGATCCGCCATGGAAGACGTCCCCATGTCAGGCTTTCTTGAGATGAATGACGCGAAGATAGATGCGCGTCTGGAAATGAGTGATGAGGAACTCGTGTCGTATGTCAATGACGTGGAAAGAGCTTTAGACGAGGAGGGATGGAGTGGCACCTGGGCTCAGTATCACAATGGCAATGCCAACTGTGAAGTTCTGCCCGGAGAATCGGGTGGTTTTTCTCTCTCACTGTTAGCTAATCGAGGGTGCGAGGTGCGTCTGAAAGACCTCACGCCCGAAGAAAAGAGGGAATTCGCCTCTTCCGACTTGCAGGAGTGGGAGGGGATCGTTGCCACCAAGTCCGTGAAAGTTCACGCTCCGGCCGAGGGGCGTCAACTCAGGCAGCTGTTTCCCAATCGGGTCGTCTCGAGTCGGATGGTCCGCCGCTGGAAACCCCAAGGCAGCGTCGGAGCCCGACCTAAGGCGAAGTCGCGCTGGTGCGTGAGGGGACACCAAGACGAGGACACCGCTGAACTCCAAGTTTATGCCCCTACGCCATCCATGGAATCTCTCATGCTGTTTCTGGCCATATCTCTTATGTATGGTTTAGAGGTCCATATAGGCGACATTAAGAACGCCTTTTGTCAGTCCGATCCGCTTAAGCGGCCCAGAGGGCGGGTTTTTGTGGAGCCCTGCGAGGGCTTGAACCTTCCGGCCGGAGCTCTCATCGAGCTCATCGCTCCTGTGTATGGGCTCGATGACGCACCTCTCGCGTTTCATGAGACGTCGGCCAGGTTTCTGGAGGGACAAGGCTTCACGAGGGCCAAGTTGGAGCCCTGCTGGTTTTCCCAGAAGGAAAATGGTCGCCTAGTCGCGCAGGTGCTGCTGGAGGTTGACGACTGGGCTATCGCTTTCCCTCCGGGTCAACAGAACAAGTATTTGACCGAGTTTAAGAAGCGTTTCACGTTCGGAAAAATGGAGAAACTCGACGAGGCCGGAGTTGAGTATATCGGTCGAAGGCTTCGACTCAGTGGACACGGCACCGCCGCACCGCGTATTCTTGTGGACCAGGAAGAATACATTCTCGAGCAGGTCCGCAAGATGCCGCTGTCAAGGGGGCGTCGTGGGGATCACTCCAGTCCCCTGGTTGGGACGGAGGTGGCGGAGTTCCGAAGCCTGGTTTACAAACTAAACTGGGTTGGGCGGGAATCCCGTGCTGAGGCTGCCGGCTGTGCGTCTATTCTAGCGACCAAGGTGAACTCACCATGCGTCAGAGACCTGGTCGAGGCACATAAGATGGTGGACCACCTTAGGTCCACGGCCAGCATGCCCGTGATAATTCACAAGTTCGACCCCTCCCGCTGCATTTTCGCGACGGCCAGCGACTGCGGAGGAGTCGGCTCGGATGACTGCATGTTCCCACAACAAGCATGGCAGGTCTATTTAGCAGACAATGCTCTAGCGCACGGTCAACGTGCGAGGGCCACCCCCCTAGCTTGGAGATCATGCCGAGTCAAGCGCAGGTGGCGAGCACTCTCGCAGGAGAGACGCTGGC